TATGTTTCTGATCATTTATGCGGGAAGAAAAGTGATTTGTAAATTTTTAGTTGGTTTTTTTTTTGCAAATTCTTCACATTATTTTATTTGGGGGATATGCGTATGATCACTCAGTTTGAAGAATGAAATATGACTTACCAATATGTAGTGTAGTATATTTGCACACTAGTGTATTTCATAAATTTCTAGTATATTTCATAAGTTCTGTAAAGTGCATATAGCACAGAGATCAAAAAAGGTTTTAGTAGACTTATTTTTTTCAAATGTAAAAATGTATGTGACCTTTCTTTTAAAAGAGATAAGAATGGTCATCATATTAGAATTTGGCAAGTGTGAGATTTATACATTTCAGTAAATGTATGAGTCTGAACAAGACAGAGGATGTCCTGGGCAGTGTGACTCACTCTGTAAGACAAACTGATTAGCTATCAAAGGACCATCTGTCTATAGGAGCCAAGGTGTTGTACATATCTCCTTAAAATTACTCAGCTGATGTAGGATCTTGCAGCTGGCCTGCTTTATCCTTCCCTAGGGATAAAATTCTTTTTGTAGTATAAATAGCATATGATAGGCATATTAAATGTGTCCCCCAATATTGCTTTTGCTTTGCATTTCTGTTCAAAAGAGGATTTGGATAACACACATGGAAATATACAGGTCTGTGTATTTTCTTGTTGTTGTTGTTGTTTTTCATAAAAAACATTGTTCCCTTCATTCTATCCCTGTTTCTCCCAAGGTCCTTGTATTAACCCAGCATGGCCATGTTTAGACAGTAAAGAGCCAGTTTGGCAGGAAATGAAGTGGTATTAATAAGATGAGTGAGCTGTCCCTCGAGCCCAGGAAAAAGTAGATGCACCACTATAAATACTTGTTTGATAAACAACGAATCATATTAACCACAGACATAAGTTAAAGTAAATGGGGTTTTGCCACTATCTGAAAAGCTCTGATCAAAATACTTTTTGCATAAATTACCTAGATTAGAGATTTCCATCTGGTTACCTATAATAAATACAGTATATAAGTGAAGTGTGATCAAAAGGTTACAGTAAGGATAATAATTTTTCATTTATTCCAGATCATTTTGTGATTTTACACCTCTGCAGGACAGATAAACGCATACTTTGCATTTTATATACCTAAGTACTCTGATAGTTTTGTAGAGGGTTTCCAACAATTACGTTGTTTTTTTTTTAAACTCCAGGAAGTTTGAGTTATATCTCCCTACCCTGGTTATAAGCTTATCAATAACCACCATGTTACCTTGCTTCTAAGATGCACTTTTTCTAGTCTTTTAAAAAATGGACCACATTAGGCGATCATATATGCACACGCACATTAATACATACACTTGATGTAATGTTTCTGAGTTCTTTGTACTATGCAGTTGTTAATAAGATGGTGCCCTTTTCAAATGAGGGACATTTTTGAACACAAGGAATGATTTGTTAACTTCCTTTTGGATGGTGACAGCAGACATCTCCCTCAGGCCTGCTGGGGGGTTAAGTGGTGAGCCCAGCAGGGAAGAGGCCCTGATGGTGCCCAGGAGTGTGGTGCAGTCAAGGTGAAGAGGATGGGGAGTTCCTGACGCTGATGAGAATAAGCAGCGAATGCAAATCATTCCCATGTATGAACTCACTTCCTGCTACTGTGCTTTGCCTTTGTAGCCGAGTTCCTGCCCAGGTATGTCTTTGTTAGACAATGAAACAAAGTGATTTAGTGACTGTTAGACAAATACTGGAGCAGGGACCTAAGGAGGGGGGGTCTTCTGCCTTCCAATTCCATGTTGTTCTTACCTTACTACTGGCTGCCATCCCCAAGATGTCCTTGGCTTCTGTCCTCTCTGTTCACACTGTGGATTGTCCTAGGTGGCTTCTCATCTTTAAATGGTGAGAACTCACAGTCCACTTTACAATCTGTTTTCTTCCCGGTGTGAGACTCAAAGATTCAAAGTTTCTGACACCTCTCGTCTCTCTTTTCCCCATCCAGCAAAACCCCAGAACATTCCCCACCCTTTTTATGAAAATAAAAAGAAAATAAAAATTAAAAGGACATTTTATTTCTTGACTTCTTCTAGCTTCTCATGCTTGTTTTGACCATAAACTAAAATGTGCATTTTCCCAGGTTTATGGTGGCACTAATCATTTGTTTGTTTTTTTTTCTAGCAAAGCATTCCACTGTTGGAAGTTTTTCTTATGCTAAGATTTTTGTTTTAATTTTAGGGATTTTTGGCTTAATAATCTCTGATTCCAAGGCATCATACACACACTCACACACAAAGTACACACTTTTAATGAATGTTGTGGCACAGAAATGTTACTCTTCTCTGAAGAAAGAAACTCAGTTTATTATAATAATTAGTCAGAACCTTAAAACAGCGGTTCTCAACCTGTGGGTCATGACTTCACAAAAACTGTATCAAAAGCTCGCAGCATTAGGATGATTGAGAACCACTGCCTTAAAAGAATTTGAGACATAGTCCCAACTGTCTTTATGATCCACTCTTAATTTGCAGTGTTAAAAATCTGAAATTATTATCACTGGGGTCTAAGGCATAGTTCCTGAAATTTTGGCAGGAACTTTTCCCACCGACTGGTTTTACGTTGTAGCACATCTTCGTTCTCACTATCTGTGAGTTGTGCAGAAGTTGCTTCAATTTCCATTTTACATATGTGGAAATTGAAATGTTAAGTGTGACTGCTAGTAAATAATAATAATTTATTGTGCTATTTTTATATGCCAGCTTTTGTGTTAAGCATTTACACATATCACATATATTTTTTTGAGAGACAGAGTCTCATTCTTTCACCCAGGTTAGAGGTTAGAGTGCAGTGGTGTGCTCGTGGCTCACTGCAGCTTCAAACTCCAGGGCTCATGCGATCTTCCTGCCTCAGTCTCCTGAGCAGCTGGGACTACAGGCATGCTTCACCACATCCAGCTAGTTTTAAAAATATTTTATAAAGACAGGTCTCACTATGTTGCTCAGACTGGTTTCGAATTCGTGGGCTCAAGTTATCCTCCTGCTTCGGCCTCCCAAAGTCCTGGGTTCTCAGGCATGAGCCACTGCACCTGGCCCACACATCATCTTTTTGCATCTTTGCAGTAACTTTTGATCCAGGTACCCTTTTTACCTTCATTTGACCGAAGAAGGAAGTGAGGTTTTAAGGGGTTAAAGGACACTTTTACTGCCACATACCTGGTAAGAGTTAGAATCAAGTTTGTATACTCTATATAAAGATATTAGGAGGAAGTGTGGAGATGGGACCTTGTTGTGGGCAGAGAATCTGTGGGAGGTCCAAATAGATGGGCTGGTCAATGGGGAACGGGGTCCAAACAGGAGGGCTGTTTTTGCCATGTGGGTGGGGAGCAGAAATGAGAGGTTTCCAGGGCAGAGTTAGAAATGCATAGCTGGGCGTGGGGGTGCATGTGTAGTCCCAGCTCTTCGGGACTCAGGAGGCTGAGGTGGGAGGGTCTGGTCACTTGAGGCCCAGAGTTCAAGGCTGCAGTGAGGTATGTTGGTGCCACTACCCTACACCTGGGATGACAGTGCAGAACTCCGTCTCTGGGGGGAGAAAAGGGAAATATACATGTGACTCCTTTGGGAGCGAGGCTGGTGTCTATCAGCCTTCCCAATTCATGTGGTCCTTCACTTGCCTTTTGTCTTGTGATTTGTTTTTATTTTGTGATTAGTGCACAGTATGACTCAAAATGATGCCATATAATAAATGGTGGTGTATGTACACCATGGAGTACTATTCACCCATAAAAAGATGGTGATCTTACATCTTTTGTATTAACCTGGATGGAGTTGAAACACAATCTTACTTGTAAAGTATCACAAGAATGGAAAAGCAAATATCCAATGTACTCAATTCTAATATGAAGCCAGTAGATGATCTAATACATGCCCACATAAGAAAAATACTTCAAGTTGAAGGGAGGGAGGAGAAAGAGGGGAGAAGGGAGGAGGATGGATGTGGCCCACCCAATGGGCACAATGTAAGGGTGTATGGTACACCTCGAGGTGGGACATGACCACAATAGGGACTCTACCTAATCAATGCAAACATTGTAACCTAATTGATGGTACCCTCACATTAATCTGAAATAAAAAAGATCAATGCTGTCTTGGTGCTTGTAGCTCAGTGGCTAGGGCATTGGCCACATATACTGGAGCTGGTGGGTTTGAACACAGCATGGGTCTGTCAAACAACAATGACAACTATAACAAAAAAATAGCCAGGCGTTGTTGTGGGTGCCTGTAGTCCCAGCTACTTGGGAGGCTGAGGCAAGAGAATTGCTTAAGCCCAAGAGTTTGAGGTTGCTGTGAGCTGTGATGCCACAGCACTCTGCAGAGGGGCAACATAGTGAGACTCTGTCTTAAAAAAAAAAAAAAAGCAATGCCATGTAAAGCAAAATCCATGCCTCTGTATACCCCTTGTCCACTGCCACACCCTCCCCTAGGTGACTTAATTTTGTATCTTCTGTATAAATTCATGTTAAATTATACCTGGCAGATTAGTGGTTCCCCAGAACTTCTAAGTAGGCTGTTACATGGGGAGGAGAATTCAGATCGCAGATGGAGTTAAGGTTGCTTATCAGTTGACCTTAAAATAGGGAGATTATTCAGGATTGCTGAATAATTACTACTTACGGAGTAGTGGCTTAGAAAGGAAAATGTTTCTCAAAGTATGTAAGTTTTCTTATCTGCAAAATGGAATATTAAAACAGGAGATCTGTAAAATTACTTTTGAAGCCAACACCTTATAATTTATAGAAACTGTTAAAAATGGACAGAATAAACTCTAAACCTAAAATTTGAAACTTAAGATTTGAATTTTGTGATTTTCTCACCCTCCTTTTTCATTTTTCAAATTTTTTAAAACTATATTCTTCTCTCTTCTGGAATATTAATACATTTTAGTTAAGTCTTGGGCTTAGCATTTTTAGAGCAATACTATCACACCAATATAAACCTATCTTTTTTTTTTTTTCCTTAGGCCCTACAGGATCAGCTAAAGATGGGTAAGTACTTAATATTATGATTTTATAAGTGTCTTTCTGAGGAAGATGCTGTTTTTGATGGTTATGAAATTTAGCTATTTGTAGCTATGAAAATATTTTCTGCACTGTGTACACATCCAGATTATCATTTGGTTTGTAACTAAAGTGCTATGTGAAGAATGTTATTTGCAACTTCATTTTAGCCTTTCAGTTGACTGGGCACTTTAACTCAGAATCTGTTTTTTTTTGAGACAGAGTCTTGCTTTGTCATCCTTGGTAGAGTGCGGTGGCTTCACAGCTCACAGCAACCTCAAACTCTTGGGCTCAAGAGATCCTCTTGCTTCAGCCTCACAAATAGCTGGGACTGCAGGCACCTGCCACAATGCCCAGGTATTTTTAGAGATGGGGTCTCACGCTGGCTCAGACTGGTCTTGAACTCCTGAGCTCAGGCAACCCACCCTCCTTGGCCTCCCCAGAGTGCTAGGATGACAGGTATGAGCCACCATTCCTGACCCCTTTAACTCAGAATCTTAAGATAGGGCAGTGTTTAACTGTTTCCATCCCAGCTTGGGTAGAGATTTCTTCTAGTTAAAAGCAAGTGATCATGGGAGAATTAAGCACATAGTTCTATGATGATGTAATGTCTTAGAATTCATCAGAGAGAAAACGCTGGGGCCAAGCATGTGCCAGATCCATATTGAATTGTTTAAAGTTGATAATTAGGTATTTAAGTGAATGTATATATATGCTCATTCAACGTAGTTACCATTCAGTTGATCTTTACATTTAATAACGAGGGATCTCTGTATGGGAGGTTTCTGGAACTTAGAAATCTGTCTATCATGCCTTTTTTCTCTGCATCTTCCTATCTCTAATCTAGAGATAAGGACATTATAATAGTTCACAATTTAAGAGTGCTTATGTGCCAGGTGCAGTGGCTGACACCTGTAATCCTAGCACACTGGGAGGCTGAGGGGGTGGAGTTCGAGAATAGCCTGAGCTACTCTGAGACCCCATCTCTAAAAATAGCCAGGCCTTGTGGCAGGTGCCTGCAGTCCCAGCTATTTGGGAAGCTGAGGCAAGAGAATCACTTGAGCCCAAGAGTTTGAGGTTTCTGTGAGCCATGACACCACAGGGTACTCTACACAGGGCAACAGAGTGAGACTGTCTCAAAAAAAAAAGAAAAAAGAAACAAAACGACAACAAAAAAGTAAATCCTACAACAGGCCAGAGGGATTCAAAACATAGATGGAGAGTTAGTATTAGAAACTCGAAGGGCTTAACTATAACTTGAACTTTACCTAAAGAATGCAACAATGTAACCTCATCATTTCTACCCTCATATTAATCTGAAATAAATTAAAAAAAAAAAAAAAGAAACTGGAATCTGGGTGACACTGTCTAGAGCTCCATCACCATCAGACCCATGTGCGTAGTTCTTTTTCTCTTCCTCTGTCTCTTTAAAATTAAAGCACAGGCTGTAACATACTGAACAAGGACAGAAAAACAGCAGGGAAGCCAATGTGATGACATTTGGCTGCTTCCACAAACCTGTTTTTCTTTTATTTCAGCAAATTCCTAACTATTTGGCACTCAGAGTTTGCGTTGGGATATTTTTGGTAGGAAATGGCAGAAGCCCAGCGTAAACTGCTCTAAACAAACAAACAAAAAGGAATTTACTGGCTCATGTGTAGTGGAAACTCCAGGGGTTTGACTTTGGTCACAGTCGGATCCAGGTGAACAAAAGACCGGGAGAAACTCTTTCTCTCTGCTTTCTTGTTTTTAGTTTTTTTCTTAGGCAGCTTTTCACAAATGATGACAGATATGACCAGTTTATACATTATCAGCTTAGAAATTCCTGTGGAAAAATAGCTCCTCTTTGCTAGAGTTTTGATCAAAAGTCCTAGGGCTGGGCTCCTAGTGGCCCCATGGGTCATGTGCCTACCTCGGACTCAGTCCACAGGCCAGAGAATGTGGGGTTCTCATTGGCCAGGCCCAGGTCACTGCTGGAGCCAATCGGTGTCATCAGCCCCACTTAACCATATGGCCAAAGAGTGAGAAAGTGGTGATCCTGCCACTCCACCCTCTAAACAGGGATGCCATTACCAAAACAGGGGACAGCTATAAGTGGGCTGGCAGAAACCAAGCTTGTTCCTTCTCCATGTATGTCAGTTTTTGTGTTGTTAAAAAAATTTTTTTTTGGCCTGATCACAGTGCTTCATGCCTACAATCTTAGCTCTCTGGGAGGCAGAGGAGGGAGGACTGCTTGAGCTCACCAGTTTGAGACCAGCCTGAGCAAAAGCTGAGACTCCATCTCTAATAAAAATAGAAAAATTATTTAGGTGTTGTGGCTGGCACTTATAGTCCCACCTACTCCGGAGGCTCAGGAAGGAGGATTGCTCTAGGAGTCTGAGTTTGCTGTGAGCTAGGCTGATGCCTTAGCATTCTTACCTAGGGATACGGAGTGAGAGTCTGTCTCAAAACAAACAAAAAATGAAAATAAACAGCCACCCTCTCTCAGAAACCTTCTTGAGTTAAAGTTCAAGCATTATTTATAAGAATATTATGAATATAGTCAAGCGTTGTGGCAGGCACCTGTAGTCCCAGCTACTTGGGAGGCTAAGGCAAAGAGAATTGCTTAAGCCCAAGAGTTTGAGGTTGTTGTGAGCTGTGATGCAACAGCACTCTACTGAGGGTGACGTAGTGAGACTCTGTCTCAGAAAAAAAAAGAAGAAAAAAAGAAAAAGGATACTATGAATATGTTTTAAATAAGAAACAGTTTTAAATAATTTGATTCAAATGTAACATTTGCTGTTGAAAATTAAAAATCATGGCCGCTTAATTTAAACAAGAGAATTCACTTTTTTCACTTAAAGCTCACAAAGTGAATTTTATTAAAATTCCTTTTTTGACAAAGCCATTTTATGTTATGGAAAGTAGCAACTATAAAGAAAAATACCTTGCAATGAATTCACATAAGACACTCTGGTGATCTTTTTAAAAACAATGAAATAGTGAATCTCTTATGTTGAATTTCCTGAAACTCCTTTATCAGTTTCCCTCATGTGTCCACTGAGCCCTCTGTACTCCTCATAGTTAAATCTGGAGGGTATATGAGGGGCTCTTTTCTCACCTGTGTCCTGGGAGGAAAGGTTATCTTCTGAGGATGAAGAGATTAGGGCTGAAGTACCAGTGAAAACTCTCGCCTTTGGAAGCAGGGAGACCTTCGTTTAAAATCCCCTTCACCATTTCCTAGCCAGGCGACCTTGTGCCTGCAGTATAACTGTCTGTAAGGCTGGAGTAGTAACTGCAGCGCTGTCATCTTTATCATTATCTTCATCATTCTTATGTTAGCAGCTGTTCTTTACTGAGGACTGTATGTCACGCACAGATTTCCAGCATTTTCTGTACATTACCTCATTCCATACCCCTACGGTCTCCCGGACAAAATAGCAATGTTTCATTTAACAGGTGATACGGGGGCACAGAGAGGGGAAGTAACTGCGGAAAGGGTAGGAGGGTTATAGATGCAATAGATTCAGAGTCCTGGGGCAACATTCCGCCTCAGACTTGCTGTCCCCAAGTGAGAGCTACAATTATTAGGTTTAAAGGTTGTTGAAGATTTGGCAGAGCCTCTGTCACGCACACCTTATGGGAGAAGACCCAGGGCATTGGGGGCCTTGCTGTGGTTAGTAATCATATATTCCCGCAGGTAGCTGTTTGCAGATTTTTCTGAAGTAGGCCCCAGTGAAGTAGGAGCAGGAAGAGGGAAGGCAGACAGATGGGATCATCCCGGGATGGAGAGGGAAAGGCAGCCGCCAGTGAGTGCTGCTGAAATGCTTGATCGCTGGCGGGAAGCCCCAGGGCTGATGGATGGGGAGAGAACAGGAGGGAGTGAACTGGAAGTGATGATGTGATCAGAAACAGGTTCCTTGGGAGTGGTGGGAAGAGCCAAAGAAAGGGAGTGGGATTTTTCTACTTTGAAATGTGTGGTGAAGGGATCCTAGGAGCTGAGTTCTGTGGCATAGCCATGGGCTAGTTATCAGTGTCAGTAAAAGTTGCTAAGATAGAGGAATTCAGGAAAAGGTGAGGTGAGAGGTTGGATGGGTGGTTTTCATGGATTTATTTTTTTATTTTTTTGGAGACAGAGTCTCATCCTGAAGGGTGCTGTGGCGTTATAGCTCACAGCAACCTCCAGCTTTTTGGCTCAGGCGATTCTCCTGCCTCAGCCTCCCAAGTAGCTGGGACTACAGGTACCTGCCACAACACCTGGCTCTTATATGGTTATAGTTGTCATTGTCGTTTGGTGGGCCTGGGCTGGATTTGAACTGCCAGCCTGGGTGTATGTGGCTGGCACCTTAGCCACTTGAGCTATAGGTACCAAGCCAAAAAGCAAGGTTTTTAAAGGTAAGGCAGTGGAGAAAGCATTCTCACCTTGCTTAGAGCAAATGGTACTTCTACAGCCAGTGCTGAAATAATCCCTACACAGCATTCCCCTTAGGAACAGAACGTCTTGGAGGGCAGGGAGATTGGAGCTAGAGCTCTTGTGCCTTGCCTCCATACAAAGAGAAGTTGAAAGCATTTCTTTGAAGTGAATATGACTCATGTTCTCCAATAACACACCCTGGAATAAAGAAGGAGACCAATGTGAGCTCTGAGGAGAGAGCTGTAAGAAAACTGTCCAAAAAAGTTTTGCTGCGAAGTTTTCGCTGTAATAGACTTGATCAGAATCACACTGGGAAGCAGGAGCCATCCTAAAAACATACTACAAAATGAACTGATTGCACTTTCATCTGGAGAACTGTAGTGGAGACAGAAGTAAACCCAGTCAATTCATAACCCTATTCCAGAAGATAAGCACCAATGGTAACCAAAAGTAGCTCGTTAGAGCTCCTTGTGTGGTTTATGATCTCCGGAGGTTTCCATATTCACTTTGTACTGTTTACAAATCAAAGTGGAGCCTCATTAGTGACATGCAAAGAGGGGAAAAGAAAAAAACTACAGGCTGTTTTTCTGCTTAGATCTGCTCTAGTAAGAATAGCTTTTTAGGGGCAGTGCCTGTGGCTCAAAGGAGTAGGGCGCTAGCCCTATATACAGGAGGTGGTGGGTTTAAACCCGGCCTCAGCAAAAACTGCAAAAAAAAAAAAAAAGAAAAGCTTTTAAGAACATTTTTCTTGATGAAGCAAAAAATAAATCATTGTTTTATCACATAACAATTAATTCCGGAAGCCTAAGGGAAGTAAGAGCTTTCTGAATTTTCAGGCAGGTTGTATCTAGCATGAGTTAGGAGATGGTAATTGGAGTAGGTGGCTGCCGCTGATAGCTGTCATCTGCATTTGTCCTTGACCATGACATGTTCCATTATTTTGCTGTTGAAACCTTTAGGTCACTTGGGATAGCTATTTTATATAACCCAGAAACTAAGCAAGTATAGTGATGGAAATATTTTGATGATCGTGTATTTATACTGAGTAAGAAATGAGTAGTTGTTTATCTTTATATATTAACTCTGTATAAGATTCACTTAATGAAAATGATTAGTTATGGTTAAGGTGAAAATCAGAGTATGTAAAATGATGGCCAGATTTAGGTGTTTCTAGACAGATATTTGGGGTTCGTTGATATTGAGACAGAAACTCACTGACACCCTGGTTAGACTGCTGTGGCATCATCATCGCTCAAAGCAACCTCAGTCTCTTGGACTCATCCTCAATCTCTTGGGCCTCAATCCCTTGGGCTCCTGCCTCAGCATCCCCAGTAGCTGGGACTACAGGTACCAGCCATGACATCTGGCTAGTTTTTCTATTTTTAGTAGAGATGGAGTTCTCACTCTAGCTGAGGCTGGTTTTGAACTCCTGAGCTCAAGCAATCCACCCTCCCTGGCCTCCCAGAGTGATAAGCTTACAGGCGTGTGAGCCATAGAACCTGGCCAGATATTTGGTTTTAAATAGGCATGGAAAAAATACATTAATGAAAAAAAGGTAGGCAAAAGGCAACCTGCTTCAAAGAGCATCCACAGACCTGGGCAAAAGCCATCCTGCTTCAGAAAGCACCCACAGGCCTGAGGCAGGCTTGGACACAGCCCACAGCCCACAAGGCAGAGCTGCCAAGTGCTATGTTTCCCGCACGTAGTCTCAGCTACTCTGCAGGCTGATGCAGGAGGATTGCTTGAGCCCAGGAGCCTGCAGTGAGCTGTGGTCATGCCACCTTGCTCTATCCTGGGCATCAGCACAACTCCATTTCTTCCAAATTAAAAAAAAAAAAAAATACACACACACACAAAACCCAGAAAAAAAACAAAGGCGAAGCTTCTTTATAGCCAGAGAGAGAGTCTCTCTGGTTCATTCAGGAAAAGTCTAACAAAGCTGGCATGAAACCAGGGTGCCTTGCTACCTAGAGAATTTGGATCAGAATAGATATTCAGTCTGAGTCAGGTAAGAAGTCAGGCACCATGCTGGTGTTAGGAGGTTCACAGTGAAGTGTAATTGATGGAAATTCTGAGATAAAGGAGCCCTGAAGCTGTCCATCTGTAATGGGGGTGGCCCTGGGTCAGTGGCATTCTTTTTTCTTTTCTTTTTCTGGCAAGCAGGTGTCAGGCAAGCTTTGGTGAGATAGCACATCACTGAACAATAGCTTTCTCTGTCAGACTGAGTCATGTTTATATGATCAACTGAGAATGTATCTTTTCAACAGTTCCAAAATGTGTTGAAAGTAGGGAGAATTTAAGTTATAGTGGTGCAGCCTCAATAACATTTGTTTCTGTGAACAATTTTATTAATAATGTGTCTGAAAAGTCAGAGTCAGAACCTTGTAAGCATGTGACCTCAGTCTAGGAGATTATTCTAATACTGAGTGTGGCTTTAACCTTGATGCTGTCTTTCTCCTTGAACACCTGTTTTTGATAAAAGAAGTTAAGTCTTACGTGGTGACTCACACCTGTAAATCTGAGCACTTGGGGAGGCTGGGGCAAGAAGATTGCTTAAGGCTAAGAGTTCAAGACCAGCCTAGCCAACATACCAAGACCACATCTCTGCCAAAAATAGAAAAATTAACTAGGCATGGTGGCACACAGCTGTAGTCCCAGCTGCTTAGATGAGGCAGTAGGATCATTTGAGCTTAGGAGTTTGAAGTTACACTGAGATATGATGACCCTGCTGTACTCCAGCCCATTTAACAGAGTGAGACCCTATCTCAGGCCGCCCCAACCCCCCCCCGAAGAGTTTACGGGAGAAATGATTTCATGATTCATGTCACTCGGGACCAAAGTAAACAATGCTAAGATCTTGAACAGGTTTGCCACCATCACTTCCCTATTATCTATACTGAAGGGTTTAAGTCCATTTTAATTAAAAGTGGTAAACAACACTTTTTTATACCACATCAATAAACATAACACCATTTCTAGTACAGTATGACTTTGACACTTTTGAATTAAAAAACGATCCAACGTTAGCAAGGGGTAAAATGACAGTCAGGTGAATTGAAGTTATATTCGGTTTGGATAAGTTAGATCTCAAGGTGGATTTTGCATTTTATTGGAGTGTTTGTTATTTGTCCAGGACCAGCGTTAACCAGAAAATGACCAAATCTTCATTTTCTTTCTTTATAGATGCAGATTTACTATCTGTTGCAATAAAGCAAAAGTCTTGTGCACACATACACAATCATCCCTAACATGCTAAATAGTCATAACTTTTAAGGGGGTGACACCACAGTAAGACAATCTCTGAAAAGAAGATTCAGTGAAGATGTTTAGATGTTTCCAGTCCGTTTTCTTTTTGACAAGAACCCCTCAGGATTACAGTTTGAGCTCAGCCAGATACATTCGAAGCTTGTTGAGTCTTTTTTCTTCCAGAAAAGTAACCTGTATATACTACCTAATGCTTCAAAGAAGCTTCCTGATCTTTGTAGAACTCTGCCGAAGAATTCTAGTAGAATATGGATTCCTCTAACTAATGCTGTGCGTTTCCCACTAGAAGCTTCCTTTCAAACATTTCCTCACTCTTTTTGTAGTAGGTCATGTGTAAAACAGTTTTTTTTTAGATGAAAGGAAATCAGATTGGCATTAACTCTTTTTGGCACTAAAGAATTTTAGTTTTCATACCTGTAGTTGTGCCACCAAACCAGCCTGAGAGGCTCCAGATCATAGTGTGTCTGACTGGAGAGATCTTGGGTATCATCTGATCCACGCCCTATCTCCCAGGCAGCTTGCCCTCATCAGCCTGTCTGTCACATAGAAAGTGCCACAGCGGAGAGGAGGACTCGGGCTGAAGGGAATTGGGCTATTTGGCATTTTCCAGATTTACGTGTTTTGGTAAAGAGAAAATCAACCAGGTTTTAGTGCATGAACAATGGAGCTGGAGCTAGAACGCTGTGTTACAGAAATAATTGATGAATAGTTCTGGGTCTCCTACTTAGGTCTGATGGAAACACTTGAAATAAAATGGACTTTAACTCAGGGGTCCCCTTTTTTTCCCATTACCAAAAACGAAACCTCCGCAAGCGTCTCATGCAAGTATTTTTTTTTTTACCTTTTAGAACAGAAGAATCGATAACAGAAGATGACAAGAGGAGGTAGGTTTGGTTTAATTTGAATAATTGTGGCCATACCTGATGGATTTAACACCCTGTATTACGTTACCAATAACTCAGATTCCACCAGGGAAACTGGTAGGGGCATGTGACCTGAAAAAGATGCCCAGGATTCATGACCTTTGCTGCTTTCAAGCAAGCTTGGTTCTTTGTCTCATGCATTTGGCCTGTGCTAATGTCCATTGTGTGGTCTCTGAGTGTGCTCTTCACCCTAGCTGGCGGCTTCCCTCCCTTCTCTCAGCCTCTCTGTCTTCCTGCTCCTCCTCTGATTAACTATATTCCATTCTCCTTTCTCCATAGCCTTTCTTTCCTAATTTCCTGTTTACATCTTCGTATCAGTAAAATGTTTTTGTGTGTCCTGTCCCTAGCGCTTCATGCCACATTGACCACTCTTGAGTTCTTGATAAATGTTCCTTGATTCAGGTCCTTCTACTGATATTTATTACTACATCAAATTATAACATCCCAACTTCTATAGTAAAAGATCTAAAAATTGTACTAATTCAACAGCGTTCTTTCTTTTGAATCTATAGCTTTTTAAGAAAGGAGGAACAATTATATTTCCGGGGCAATAATATTCTAGATTCTGCTTTTGAAAAATCATGAGTTATTTTAGCAATTATACAATTGTTTGGAGTACTCCATACCTGTGTTGTATCCTATAAATAGATAGTGCCATTTAAATGGGTCTGATTTCTTTTCATGAAGAAATTATGGAGGAGTCTATGTTGGCCTGCCATCTGAAGCTGTCAGCATGGTGTCCAGTCAAACAAAGACGGTGCGGAAAAGTAAGTGCAATCACACGGTGTTTATTTTCTTTAAGTATTTATGTTTTATGAAAAAATATAAAATTTACATTTCAGTTTACCTAACTTGACCTACAGATTAGTTTCAGTGAACCATGTATAAGTACTGTCAGTCTATTCTAAATTGTTGAAATGACCATCCACATGGTAAGAGAAATTCCAGAGCAAAAGTTAGCTTTTTATTTGTGGTTATGCTCCATGGATATTTTTAATTGTTTTTGTTGTTGTTGTTGTTGCAGTTTGGCTGGGGCTGGGTTTAAACCCACCGCCCTTGGTACATGGGGCCAGTGCTCTACCCACTGAGCCACAGGTGCTGCCCAAATTGGATTTTTTTTTTTTGATACAGAGTCTCATTCTGTCGCCATTGGTAGAGTGCTATGGCATCACAGCTCACAGCAACCTCACTGGCCTCAAGTGATCTCGTGCCTCAGCCTTCCTAGTAGCTGGGACTACAGGTGCCCACTGAAACGCCCAGCTATTTTTAGAGATGGGCTCTCACTCTTGCTCAGGCTGGTCTGGAACTCCTGAGCTCAGGCAATCCACCCACCTCTGCCTTTAATTTTTTAAAATTTCGGTGATGATCAGTGTGAAAATGAAAGCTGACATCTAATGAAAGCTTTCATCTAGATTTTCATTAGATGAAAGCTTTCATCTAATGAAACTGACATCTAAGTCAGTTCATGAAATTTTTTGTAGAACACAAAGGTATATATCTATAATAAAAGATGTCTGATAAGCAGTCTGGTGATTAAAGGAAAAATGTCCATTGTATAATTAAATGAAATGAGGCTCCTTTTCTTGAGTTTTAATAATTAGCAATTGTGGGGCTGATGAAGTCCTTTTGTATAGGAATGACTGGTCAATCGTTTCTTGCTGGAGTAAATTTTTAAGTGAGGCTTGTGGTAAAGAAAGCTGACTTACTTGATCACTGTCCTGATGAATTGTTGGGTGCATCTGATGCATAGTTAGACATGAATATTAACATGTTTACTTTGCACACAAGCCTATATGACGTTATTTTTAACATACTATATTTGTTTATTTCTCCACTTTATGATTTAGATTAGCTAATACATATATGTCACTATGTTTATAGCTTTGTAGGATACTAAAATATGTTCTCTTAATCTGAACATTTAACTTTTCTTGATTTTCTCTTTAAGATTAGAAGAAAATAGCATCACAACTCAATAATCAAGAGACCAAGAGGTGCTGTATTTATTTCTAAATAATTCTATGTATTTAGTCTTGGTGATGAATGGACTATATATGTGTATCATTGCTCTATGTTTCTAAGAAATCTTGAACCTCAGCATTAGAAGGAGGGGTCTCATTCTGTGGAATCAAGTATATTTTATTATAAAGAGATTAATGATCACATCAATTTTTTTAAAGCTACTTTTTTTTCATTTCATTTTGTTTAAAATGCAACTTAATTTATTTACTAGGAATGGGCTAAGTGTCTACCTAAAACACTGAGAACTCACCCTCCTTCATTGCCAAGACCTTTGAGGGCCTAGGACTTGAGAAATGACGGGGAGAGAGCAGATGGGCCAGGACTGGGAATTAGGCTAGTATCAGTGTTAAGTGTTTGGCACCTGCCAAGGAGTTAGGGAGTATACAGAGAGGAGGTGAATCAGTACTAAAGCTCCAGTAGAGATGGGCAGTCAATACCATGCAGAGATTCAGTTACGCAGGAAGGAACATAGAATCATAGGCTAAGCTTACAGGTTGGGCATTATAAAACATGTTCCATATGGGCAGAAGAAAGCATTGCCCTAAAGATGAAGCGCTGTGGACCTGGGATCCTGGTGAAGAGCTTGGAGTTGGAATTATAATAAGATAAATGAAAATAAGGACAAGAGAAAAATAGCTTTCACTTATTAACTGCCCTCTAAAACAGTTTCTCAACCTTCCTAATGCCACGATGTCTTTTCAATGTTACAAAGGAGTCGTGACCCACAGGTTGAGAACTGCTGCTCTAAAAGATGTGGAGCAGCATTTCCATAACTAAGGCACCTGGTCCATGGCACAGGTGACACACGGGTCCCCAGTGGTTTTGGTCTTGCTCAATGACACCCAGCCTTTTAAAACCTCCAGTGATCAGGAATGTTTCCTGAGATAGTCCTTTTCTTCTGCAAGCCACACAACTTTGGATTTGAATCCAGGCTCTTTTACCTACTAGCTGGGCAGATTTCTTCTCCTTTATGGCCTCAATTTTATAATCTGTAAAATGGAGCCAATGCTTAGGTCGAAGGATTGCTGTTCAGATGAAATATGAAGTAAATGGTCGCACCTGCTATCGTGGTTAGCTTTGTCATCATCATCGTCACCTCCATACTATTTTTCTTTTGTAAGCAAAATCCAAACATTGGCAGACCAGGGCAAGACTGATTGATACTGAACCAATTGCTTGCTCAGGACGAAAACTAGAGTAGGTGTTTGGGGCGGGTGGGAGTGCAGACCAAGTTCCCAAGTAGAGACAAGTAAGCTTTCCTGCTGGGGGGAGGGGACACAAGCTGTAACTAGTTTATTTTGACAATCTTTGGGTGGCCACTTCTTTGAACACTTTCTCATAAGGCAGTAACATTATGGATGTTTATTCCCTAGTATTCTGGCCACGAGCTGTTGGGTTTCTTTTTGAGAATTTGCTGAAGGTTTTCTATTTCTAGTACTTTATCTTCTTTTGAGGCAAGATCTTAATCTGTTGCCCAGGCTAGAGTGCAGTGGTGTGATCATCACTTACTGCCATCTCAAACTCCTGGGCTCAAGCAGTCCTCTTGCCTCATCCTCCCAGAGTGCTAGGATTATAGGTGTGAGCCACTGCATGTGGCCTGTTGCTAGTGTTTTAAATAAAGTTCTAAACCCTCCATATAAATTTCTGAGTTTCCTGCTGGCTTTCCCTTATGTAGAAGTATTTTTATTATTTGTCTCAAATAAAAAATGAGTTTAAAGCAAGAATATATTATTGCATACCCCCCCCACCCCGGAAACAGGTGCATTTCAAAAAGCCTTTAACTTCTCTCAGGTTCTCTCAATCTTAAATTTTCTCAAGATGATTGCTTGCCTTTGTGGATGGATCTAAAACTCCCTGATAGCCATGTAGCGATATTGCTGGTAAGCCAGCCCCTGTAACTCCAGGCGGCTAGCTAAAATGCTTCCTTACTCTTCACGGCTATGAATGTATGCTGTTTTATTGCCACCTCTATCTCTTCTCAATTTTCCCTATTCTTTGCCTCTATTTTTAAACAATCCATTTGAGCCTGGTCTGTCTTCTGCCTCTTTTGAAGCATCTGAGAAGTTTCCTAAGTTGAAAAGCTGTCCATTTTCCTTGGTTGCTGAGAGCCTGTTGTGGTATTTATCAGTGACACATCTGAACTCATGGCTGTCTAGGCCCAAGGTGAAGCAGAAACTCTGATGACAAGACTATCTTGTGGAGAGGAGACGTTTTAGGGAAAGGATTGGAGATACTTATTATTTTTTTTTAATCTGACATACCATGTAGAACTTTCTCTGATTGTAACTCATTCAATGACCAAAGTTCAAAGTTGACTTTGTTACTTTTGGAAGCAAATTGAAAAATGATTTCAGAATCCTTTCAAAGGAGTTGTATCTTTCTTCTACCAATGACTCTAGGGTTAAAGTCATGGCCATTTAGGTCTGCAGAGTAGGAGCTTAAGTGGTGGTTCTCAAATGCCAGTAGGCGGACTAGCTGCATCAGAATCCCCTGACCAAGTAGGGAAGGGATGGAATCGTGGCTGAGCAGTCTGTATTTTTAATGTAGGGCATATTGACATGCACGCAGCTTGGTTTGGGCATTGTTGGTCATTTTGTGTTGTCTCTTTGTCTAAATGTCATCAATGCTTTGCTCAACGCAGGTCATCTCTAAGTTATAAATAAATATTGAGTGAATGTTGACAACGTGCTTTAGTTAAAAGAAAATTGTTAAATAATTTTTACGCTCAGGGCTGATGTAGCTGCGTTGTACCTTTTCAACTCGGCTAACTCTTTTCTCCTCTTCTGTTTATTGCCTTCACAGCTCTCGGATCAATTTGGAAGGAATTTGGCCCCAGGGGGACACTGTCATGTGCGCAGACATTTGCCAGGAAGTTCTAAACAGTTGCCCTTCCCTCTGCTGCCCCTCAGAATCTCAAGTGTGTATTTACAGCCTTGGGTACATGTTGAATGCTGTGGTCACAGAAGGGAATTTGTTAGGCGGTACACTTGGGGATGGAACTTTCTGTGGTCTGCTTATGAAAGACAAGTTAGCAAGCTGTCGTCAAGGTTGTTGTCACCCAGCCTGGGCTGCTGGGCTCTGCTGTACCATTTGAACCCCTGGCCGTTCAACACTGTTCGTGGAAATCATGTCTTTTCACTGATACTTTTTTGATAGTTTTTATATATAACAAAATCCTTATTCTATTTATACCTTAAGATAATAAGGCATTATAAATGAATTACCTAAAATAATATATTTGTCTATTATCGTCCACTCTTTCTACTTCCCATTAACTTTTAGCTGTGAATTTGGTGAATGGATTCCTGCGCCTATCTCTTTCCCTTTTCTACCGTTTGGTTTTCAAACTTTACTGAAACCTAAGAGAATTTCCTTTAGCAGGAACAATACATTTCATTGCGATATTTAAAAATAAACTTCTTAAATGTGCATGCCATGTGCACATTTTGATTAAATTCCCATTTTCTTTAGTCGAAGGCATGTAATTACGAATACTTCACAGCCACCGAGTCTCTCATTCTACCTTTGTGTAATCATGGCAGCTCGTGTTAATTGTATACTGTTTTTGAGGACTTGTGATTGATGGCTCCTGAGATATCTGGGAAGTTCTTTTGGTAATGAGGTGTGTATCTACTTAGTACTGCAATGTAAATCACTCCGTTTACCAGTGTATTTCAACAATTAAAACATTTTTATCCCTCCTCACCTAGATTTCTTAATTATTTTTCAAAAGAACGCTTTCAAAGAAATCATATTTGCCATTGTGATATATACCTATAACATATCAATATACAAAGATAATAATGTATAGATTACTATGGAGAACCCTGTGGCTCAAGGAGTAGGGTGCCGGCCCCATATGCCGGAGGTGGTGGGTTCAAACCCAGACGTGGCCATAAAAAAAGAGAGAGAAAGGCATTATTTTATATATTTAGTTCAGATGACAACCACAGAAACAACAGATTGGTTTTTAAAAATGTCAAAGGTAAGACTTGCTAAGCAATGATCATGATCACATATTCCAGTTCTATAAGTCCATAATGACATGTCGGTGGAATATCAGCTGTTTGTCCTGTGAGGGATAACAGATAAGATTGAGTTTTTTTTTCTATTGCCCTGGGTAGAGTGCTGTGGCATCATCACAGCTCACCTCAACCTCAAACTGAGTTCAAGGGATCCTTCTGCCTCAGCTTCCCAAGTAGCTGGGACTACAGGTGCCCACCACAATGCCCGGGTGCTTTTTTCAATTTTTTGTAGAGATGGGGTCTTGCTCTTGCTCAGGCTGGTCTCAGAACTCCTGACCTCAGGAACCTTCCACCTGGCCTCCCAGAAGTCCTCAGATGACAAGCCTGAGCCACTGCACCTGGCCAAGATTGATTTTTAAAAAACACTTTTAATTTTGAAATAATTCTAGATTTATGGAAGAGCATGAAGATTGTACAGAGAGTTCCTATATGCCCTTAACCCGGCTTCCTCTGTGATAATCTTGCATAACCGTAGTACATTTATCAAACATGGGTACAACCTGATAAACTACAGCCTTCCATTGGATTCCATTCATTTTTCCACTAGTGCCAATTCTTTTTGTGGTTGTGCCTGGATAGAATTCAAGACTCCATCCCATTCCGTTGCCTTTGGTCATCCTGTCTCTTTCGTCTCCCCTTCCGGACCATTTCTCCATCTTTTCATGTTTCTCATGACCTTGACACTTTTGTAGCCTGCTTGTTAGGCATTTTGTAGTAGGTCTGTCATTTGAATTTGTCTATTCTCTCAAGATTGGACAGGGGATACAGAGTTTTAGAAAGAGGACCACCAAGGTAAGGTGTCCCCCTCATCGCCTCATGTCACATCATAGCTTATGATCCCAGCATGACTTATTGCTGGTGACATTAGCCTTGATCCCTTGATTAGATGGTATCTGGCAGTTCTGTAAAGTGTCTAGCTTTCCTTTTCTATCCTCTGTTCTTTGTCAGTGATAAGTGAAATCACTAAGGTGAGACAACACTCAAGGACAAGGGAATTGAGCTGTGCTGCCTGGAGGAAACGGGATCAAGGAATGTTTGGACATGTGTTTAAAGTACCATGGTAATTAATAAGTATTCTGGAGAAGATACTTTGAGATTCTAGAAATGCTAATTTCTCCTTAAAGTTTTGCCCACTAATTTTAGCGTTTCCCTTGGGGTCTGGCTTGCAGCATTTTTTGCTGTGATGTAACAGGGGACATTTTCTGTTTCTCTCCTTCCTTCTACACAGATTCTTTGGAGTTCTTGTCTAAGGAATATTTGTCTCTTCTCCCCTGTTTATTTATTTTTTATATTTCTTGAGACAGAGTCTCACTTTGTTACCCTTAGAGAGCTAGGACGTCATAGCTGACAGCAACCTCAAACTTGGGCTCAAGTAATCCTTCTGCCTCAGCTTCCTGAGTAGTTGGGACTACAGGTGCCCGCTACAATGCCTGGCTATTTTTAGAGATAGGGTCTTGCTCTTGCTTAGGCTGGTCTCGAACTTCTGAGCTCAGGCAATCCACCTGCTTCGGCCTCCCAGAGTGCTAGGATGACAGGCGTGAGACACTGAGCCTGCCCCCTATTTATTTTAGACAGGGTCTTGCTCTGTTGCCCAAGCTAGAGTGCAGTGATGTTATGGTAGTTCACTGCAGCCTCGAACTCCTGGGCTCAAGTGATCCTCCTGTGTTAGGTGATGTTCTTTCTCACAGGGAGAGAAGGACAGTTTGGCCGTGGGTGCAAGCTGGCTCCTAGAATTGTTTAAAAGCAAGAAACGACTACACACTCTTAGGTGGCCTGTAGCAAAATGTCTTTATTTTCCACTCCCCTTTATTGGGAGCTAGTCACATACATCACATTGATCAATAATCCTAACATCCTCATTTCTTAAACTATAGAAAAGAAAGAAAGTCCAGGAAAGTGAGATAGCCATCATAAGTTTAGCCTAAAGAAAGAAAGTCCGGGAAAGTAAGACAACCATCTTAAAGCTAGCCTCAGGCTATTCTTCTTGGAAGACCTAAAAGAACAATATATTATCTGACTTCTATTGTTAAAGTTAAAGGTTAGGATAAACAGAGGAGTAAAACCTTTCTCTTCTATGTACTCAATTAAATTTCCGAGAAACTGGCTTCATGACTGTTTTCTTATGGTTTTGGAGACCCTGCAGTTACGGTGAAGTATTTTATTAAGATGGAGTTTTTTTTTACTCACATCAACCTTTGAGTCATGTCCTCTGCACAGATGGGCCATTTCAACCCTTATCTGACAGGCTGACTTGACTGCACAGTTGGGGTTCCCTGTAGGAGGTTTTTACGCCTGGCCTGCAGGCCCCCACCATGTTTTCCCAAGTAGCTTAGGGCTTCGACAAAAGCGCATAATACTCACAAGTCTTTTCTCTCAGTTCTGGAATTAAAAGAGTATATTTCATTTAATTTTTGTGGGGGTTTACCCCCCACTCCTGCCTCAGCCTCCTTAAGTAGCAGGTGCACACCACCATGCCCTACTAATCTTTTTATTTTTTGCAGATATGGGATCTTGCTGTGTTGTCCAGGCTGTTCTCAAACTCCTGGCCTCAAGTGATCCTCCTGCTTCTGCCTCCCAAAGTGCTGTGATTCCAGGTGTGAGCCACTGCACCCAGCCCTCATTTACTTTTTTATTCAGTCATTCATATCAGTGTGGACTTATCAATATTTATGTTGTTCTTTAGGTTGTAATCCATGACTGTCCCTATTATGCTCCTCAGAGTGTTCCAGCTTTGGCCACTGGAGGCTTTTTCAGGCTGGAACCTGACATGTCCCTTCTTTTTTTCCCCTTAGGTTCATTTTTAGTCGTGAAAAGTCCTATAAAATAAGGATCTTATTCAAAAGTTCATTACAATGCATTCCTAAAACTTTGTCAAATTTCATTATAAATAGTGTTTTCCATGTTATGACAAGTCTTAACATTTTCCTTCAATTAGACCATTTAAATTTAGAATCTGTGGTTCCTACTTGCTATCCGCCTACCTGCATGTTAAGGCTAATGGTTATAATCTTTATTGTACTGCAGGAATCTTGAGTGAAAGAAAGCCTTTGAGAAGAATAACTATTAACATTAAGATCTTTCAAAAGAAAAACAAGCAACTGATAAAGCCCTAAAACTTGCCTAGAATTTAAGAATTAATACCTTTCAGACAACATTCTGTTTCTTTGCAAGGTTATTTCTAATATTTAAAATACAATGGAGAGATGAGTTTCTGAGAGTTTTTCTTTTTAAAGTGCCAATTTGTTGTTGATTCATTGAGGGTACAAAGAACCAGGTTATACTGCTTGCATTTGTTAGATAAAGTCCCTCTTATAATTGTGTCACACCCCCAAGAGGTGCGTCACACACTGCGACCCCCCTCCCTCTCTCCGCTCCCCCAGTCCTCCTCCCCCGCCATGTACTAGCATCAGTTGTCCTCATATCAGAATTGAGTACATTGGATTCTTGCTTCTCCATTCTTGTGATGCTTTACTCAGAATGCATTTCAGCTCCATCCAGGTTAATGCAAAAGATGTAAAGTCACCATCTTTTTATGGCTGAATAGTGTTCCATGGTGTACATATACCACAGCTTGTTAATCCATTCCTGGATTGGTGGGCATTTAGGTTATTTCCACATTTTGGCAATTGTAAATTGAGCAGCAATAAACAGTCTAGTTTTGCCACATATCTTTGAAGAAAAACTGTACTTCTGAGAATTTTTAAATAAAATTGGTTAGAAAAGTTTTTCTTAGGCAATCTTCTAAACTAGGAGTCATTTATCTCTAGACTTAGGCAAAGAAAACTGCCAGAATTTAGTTTTAGAGAAAGTGATTAAAACTCTGGCATGGTGAGATCTGGTTTTGACCAGTAAAACTACCTTCCGGGGCATTATTGAAGAATGCTGGCCTGGTGAAGTGAGCTTTCCAGAGTGATCTGGACTAGACTCTAATGATAAAAGGTGCTAGGTTAGTACAATGGGGGGAGTTGCCTTTCTGGGTTTTTGAATTGTTGAAAGTTTGAAGAGGAAACCAGGCTCAGTCTTGTAAGCAGGAGCTATGTGCATCAATATGGAATCCATGCCCAGGTTCGAGAAGAATTTCAGGGGTGAACAAGTTACATAAGGGACTCATTCCCTGGGAGATAGTTGACTTTTATTTTTAAGGGGATTTTTTATGTTTTATTTATTTATTTATTTGTTGTTGTTGCAGTTTTGCCAGGGCCAGGGCTTAAACCCACCACCCTCAGCATATGGGGCAGGCACCCTACTCCCTGAGCCACAGCGCTGCCCATATAGTTGACATTTTATTCACTTATTTACGTTGACTCAGTGCACCTGAGAGATTCAAGCAGTACAGTATGGAACGATGATGTGCTTTGTGTCCCGATGAAGTGCTTTGTGTCCCGATGAAGTGCTTTGTGTCCCGATGAAGTGCAAAATCAATTCTGATTTTCAGTCATTCGTCAAACAGCACCAATTGAATACTTGCTTTGCTGGTATTGACTGCTAAAGGTACAACTGAAACACCCAATCCATGCATTCAAGGCTGTTTAGAATAGTGATGGGTACACCAGTGTCCTGTCATGAACATTGAGAGCCATGGCCAAGGCTGACAGAGGTTACCCTGGGAGCACAGAGCAGGGACACCTAAGTCACAGTGGTAGGTGAGAGAAGACT